AATTTTTGGTATAGTAGTTGTGACTTATTCACACTATATACATTTGGCTTCCGCAACAGAGGCAAGGAAGAAACGTAGTGAGACATGACTTAGCTAATATATTAATAACTTAATGGATAATTTTCTTATGGATTATTATTTTTAAGGTTTTTAGTACTAAACTTATTTTACTAATATTATTATGATTTCTTATTTAATAATTATTGAATTTTTTTATAAGATTTCACAAAAAAATCGACACCCCGCATCGAAAATACTAGGTTGGAGTGAATCCGATAACGAACATTGAATCTGCCCCTAGATACAATATCACCATTACATTTTGTTATGAGATAAAAGATTATTGATATTGTTGCAAATATAAGTTACATGAGTATAATTATGTTAGTCTCCTCGTAGGATTAATTATTTTTAGTCGTAGTACGTACCAAGTGAGCAACCATTGGTCTCCTTGCCAAATCTAGAGATATACTTCAAGCTAATGTTTCCATAACTAAATGCAGTCTATTAATAAGCTTGCTTAAATATTGTGAATAGAGCTCAAAATCTGAAGTAATGCTAGTGAATTACGACAAAGAAGAGATGACTTTTTTTTTTTTGGTTTCCCACCTGTTCGGTACTCGTATTGGAGCCCGACTATATTCGGATTCGCGTCGTGTAGGGCCCCATTCGGAGGGTAGCGCTCCCTACCAAGGTTTTTTCCATACATAGGGCTCTAACTCGAGACCTCTGGTTAAGGGAGGAGGAGTCTCATCCACTGCACCATGTCCTTTGGTAGTAGAAGAGATGACTTAACCAGAAGGGGAGCCTTGGCATAACTGTTAAAGTTGTTACCATGTGACCAGGAGGTCACGGGTTCGAGCCGTGAAAACAGCCCCTTGCAGAAATACAGGATAAGACTGCGTATAATAGACCCTTGTGGTCCGGCCCTTCCCTGGACCAGAGGCGGATCTAGAATTTGAAGGTGGCGGGTGTCATAATTTCTTTTAATGTATATCTTATAATGACTAATATGAAATTTATTAGGAATATTTATTCGATTTTTTAAATAAGGAATCATACCTTAATTATAACAACACAAGTAAAATCAATATTTTCACTAGGAAATTACATCTATGTTTATATATTAAAAATAAATTTACACAAGATAACATCTTGAATGAGGGAATTACATCAAGCAAAATAAGAAAATTTTAAAAATATCTTCAATAGATAAATTATACCCCACAAGTATAGAATTAAATAAAATAGAAGTTCTCAAAAATCAAAATGATAAATCTCATATTTTTCAAGCGCTTAGAAAATTTTTGTTATAATTTAATAGTAAAAAGATTTAAACTATATTTAATAACCATAGAATAACACAAATGTTTATGATATAATTTTAAAAAAGTTTTTATCTCAATCGAAAATTCCCATTAAGACTCAAATTTTTCGGATATGAAAGAAGCAATTTGAGATTAAGATGAATGCTTATTTTATAAGATTTTATAATATTGGACTCTCTTTTTTTAGTGTTCTTGTTAGAGACCACATATAAATAATAAAATAAAAAAAAATACAAAAAATAATGAAACGATAAATAGAAAATTGGGAGGGAGCCAAGAGGACAATGATTGGGAAATAAAGAAATAAAAAGCACACGAAAAAGGAAAGTGGCAAGGTTCAGGATAATTTTCAACTTGAATTTTTCACGTTAGAAAAGCTTTTAAAAAGATCTACTAGTCATAGCACCTTTGTCTAATTTACAGCCGTTGGGTGGTAGGATTAGATATTTAACCTAATTTAAGAAAATTTCAACATTGATATATAAATTTTTTCACATCTTAGCGGCTGCCGTGCCACCTCGCGCACAGGGCAGCCCTGAAGAGATGACTTAACCATTTTGTGCCAACTCGCGCAATTTTTTATTTTTTTTGGCCGAAGAGTGGGGATTGTAATTTCGTTTTAATTGCATATTTTGTGTTAATTTGTATGTATTATTGCATATGATATATTTCATCCACCTTAAGGGGGATAGTAGAAGCACATGCGATATTGATATTTAAAGGTAAAACAGTATTAAATGCATATACTTTGAAGTTTCTCAATACGTTGTTATGTTCTCATGTTTCAGAGAAAATTTTATGAAGGAATTGGCAAATGTCAGACTGATAAGTAGTATATAAATTCTCAACCAAAGGATTCGCATTAAATTTGAACAAAAATTCTCAGAATTCGATAATGAGACATAAAATAAAATGGAAAAATAGCTGCAAATACCAACCCCAGAAAAGTATAAATAAAACATAAATAATGAAGAAATACAAATTTTTATATCATGCCTTCAACTCGAGACCCTTGAGATTATGTTGTGTTGGAAAAATAGCCTTCTCGAACCATGTCGAACATGAAAGATGGAAATTTAATAATATGGAGGCGGTGGTGATGGAGAAGGAACTGAAGATGATTGATAAGAGTAAGGAGGTGGTGGTGATGGTGAAGAAGGAGAGGGTGAATTATAGTAGTATGGCGGTGGAGGAGAAGCCGAAAGTTTCTTGTAATACTCATTCTTTGGCAAAGATGGTACTTTATATTCTTGTTTAGGCATTGAGGGTACCTTGTAATAGTCAGTTTTTGGAACTGATGGCTTTTTGTAGTAATCATTCTTTGGTATAGATGGCACCTGATAATCTGGTTTAGGCACTACGGGTACCTTATAGTAGTTCTCCTTTGGAACTGATGGCACCTTGTAGTTATTCTTTGGAACTGGTGACTTTTTGTAGTAGTCATTCTTTGGTATAGATGGCACCTGATAATCTGGTTTAGGCACTACGGGTACCTTATAGTAGTTATCCCTTGGAACTGATGGCACCTTGTAGTTATTCTTTGGAACTGGTGACTTTTTGTAGTAGTCATTCTTTGGTATAGATGGCACCTGATAATCTGGTTTAGGCACTACGGGTACCTTATAGTAGTTATCCCTTGGAACTGATGGCACCTTGTAGTTATTCTTTGGAACTAGTGACTTTTTGTAGTAGTCATTCTTTGGTACAGATGGCACCTGGTATTCTGGTTTAGGCACTACGGGTACCTTATAATTGTTATCCTTTGGAACAGATGGCACCTTATAGTTATTCTTTGGAATTGATGGATTTTTGTAGTTGTCATTCTTTGGTACAGATGGCACCTTGTATTCCTGTTTAGGCGTTGATGGTGCCTTGTAATAGTTATCTTTTGGAACTGATAGTTTCTTGTAGTAGCCATTCTTTGGCAAAGATGGAGCCTTGTATTCCTGTTTAGGCACTGAAGGTACCTTATAGTAGTTATCTTTTGAAAGAGATGGCACCTTCTTGTAGTTATATTCTGGAACAAATGGTTTCTTGTAGTAGTCATTCTTTGACACATATGGCACCTTCTTGTAGTTATCTTTTGGAACTGATGACTTCGTGTAATAGTTATTCTTTGACAAAGATGGTGTCTTGTATTCTTGTTTAGGTACTGAAGGTACTTTGTAACCATTCTTGGACACTTGTGGCACTTCGTAATTGTCTTTTGACACTGGTACTTGGCTTGGTACTTTATTATATGATAGAACTGGTGATTTATAAGAGTCAGAAGAATATGCCATAGTGCAAGTTGCAATCAAGTAAAATGCTAAAGCACAAGCAAATTGATGCCATTGCTTCTTCATTTGGCTCCCCATTGAGAAGATTTGGGTTCTAGGGCTGATTGGATTGTTGTTTTTCTTTTTTTTTGTGTGTGTATTTTGAGAATGGTGTAACTAAGAGTTTATATAGCCTAAACTAAGAAGGTGACTTGATAATTTGAATGCATATAATAATCCAAATTCATCTAATTTTCCCATTTTTATGGTTAATGCTGTTCCACTAACATTTTGAGATAATGGGAGACCATAAACATATCATACCCCTTAGGTTGGCTCACTTATTTTAAAAAGTTAAATCCAGATTTTTATTAACTTCGAAAAATATGATTTTGTTTACAATTATACATGTATAAGCTAATAACAAAAGAGGAAAATAGAGAAATTAAATTGCTTGTGGATGTCCTGGAAAACTCACATACATTTGGGAACATATAAAATTATTGGAGAGGGACCATCAAGTGATGTGGTGCAGTGGATGTGGTTGTTCCTTCTTTAACCAGAGGTCTCGACTTCGAACCCTGGGTATGAAAAAATCTTTGGTAGGGAGCGCTATCCCCCGAATGGGACCTTACCCGGTGCGAATCCGAATATCGTCGGGCTCCAATGCGGGTACCTGACACTGGGTGGGAAACCAAAAAAAAAAATATTGGAGAGGGAAGAAAAGAAGAAAATAATATTTGAGTTGTCTTACTTTAGTCTAAATGTTGGTACATTTTTTTTCCTATTTTTCTTATCATACTATTTTTTAAAAAATTTATACAATATTTCTTTCAAAAGAAAAAAGGATTCGGAGTACGTGAGATAAATTATTTACTTTCCGACTCAATTCAGGAATCAATCCCTTATATGTTTTTAAACAAAACTTGAATACTCAAAAACTAATATAGTAAGTTATTATATTACATTACTAAATTATTTTTAAAACGTACTAATTGTAAGATATTTCATTTGGTAAATGATAAAATTAAATAAGGGCCTCATCTTTTTGCTCTTTTGTTTTTTTATGGTCCCATAAAAACGTATCCAAACTTTAGGGGGTTAAGTGTCCCCTTTGCAAAAACGTAGGATGCCCATATGATAATTACCCATTTTCAGCCTCTTCCACTTCTTCCTTCGCCGTTCTCTTTTTCAGCCAGAGGACCACAAAATTTTTCACAAATCTGTTTTTTTACTGTAATTTCAATAGATATATTTTTGCTAGTAGATTTCAGGTAATCTTTTACCGCTAAAACCTAAATACTGAAAAGCTCTAATTTTTGAGGTCTCGTATCTTGACAGTAGGCTGAACCAATTACTCATTGCAGGTACCAAAATTTTATGTTCTTTGTTACAATATTTAAATTTTTATTCAAATTGAAGCACACCCATTTATCAATATTGAATCAGTTACTAATTTTTTATTAGTACCGGTCCGGTTTTCATAGTACAGGGCAGTATCTAATTGCCAGTGTTATTGCTTTTCATCTATTTTGGTCCTTATGTTGCTGTTATTATTTGTGTGATTTCTGTTGATGATATTAATTTATTGTCACTGTTCCTCTTCTTGAGCCAAAGCTCTTTCTACTCCCTTGGGATAGGGGGCAAGGTTTGCGTAATCACCGGTGGCGGAGGCAGTATTTCTGCTAAGGGGGTCCAAAAAAGAAAAATTAAAATTTTTTTTAGCTAGTGGGAATTGAACCAATGACCTTACAAATGAACCGCCTTGACCACTAAGCTATGCTTTTGGGCTGTGTAAGGGGATTCAAAACATAATATACGGGGGTAAAAAACATATTTTGCCTTATATATACAGTGTAATTTTTCGGCGAAGGGGGTTCGGGTGAACCCTCTTCCGCCACCCTAAATCCGCCCTCGCTACCCTCCCCGGATCTCACTTGTGCGATTGCACTGGGTTGTTGTTGTTGTTGTTGTTGTTGTTGTTGTTGTTGTTGTCGAATCAATTACTAACTCTTGGTATCAAATGTATGTTCATAGGATACCAAGTTTCCCATTTTATTCAACTTGAACTCACACCCTTATATCAAAACTGAATTGCAGGTATCAAGTTTGCCTTTTTATTCAACTTGTATTGAACCATAAATCAAAACTGAATCAAATACTAGTTGTAGATGTCAAATTGCATGTTCAATGGATACCAAGTTCACTTTTTTCATTCAAATAGTAGTTGCAGGTATCAAATTTTATGTTTTTGGATTACCAATTTACCTTCTTTTTTTTATATCAAGACTTGATCAAATAGTAGTTGTGGGTATCATATTGAATTTTCATTGGGTACCAAGTTTACTCTTTCATTCAACTTGTATTGACCTATAAATCAAGACTGATTCAAAAGCTAATTGTTGGAACCAAATTGTATGTTGATTGGGTACCAAGTTAACTTTTTTATGCAGCTTGAACTTGAATTCACACCCATGAATTTTGTGATTTTGATGTTGCGTTTAGACTGTCTAAACTGCAATTGGTTGATTTTTTTTGGCTGATTAGTTGGCTTATGTGAATGCGAACACTATGGGTTGATTTGGTTTTTGATAGGGCTTGAAGTTTCTTTGCTTTTTCTAAGTTGGGCTGAGCTCTCACCTTGTCGATGAAATTTGTGTGTACTTGTAGAGGCAGATGTAGAATTCTTAGCAAGTGTGTGTAGAATAGTTCACATCCACTACTAATATGTGTGTGTTTGTGTATGTCTAATTATTCAAGTTTAGTCTATATACGTCAATTTGAAGGGCAAAGAGTCTAGCCGTACCCAAGGGGTGAGCCAGGGGCAGAAGGGGGTCCGTTAAATTACACTATATATACTAGGTCAAAATTATATTTTATGTATATATAGTAAAAGTTGGATCCCCTTGACTTCTTTGTATGATTAAATTTTTATATTTTGAACCCCCTTACTGAAATTTCTGGCTCCGCCACTATTGCCCATACACCCCGTGAACTATTGCATCCCACGCTGTGCCAGGGTTTGTCTAATTTGCAGCCCGCCCTGCTGTATAAGTTATGTTAGTGAGAGGGGATTTGTTGTATATGGTAGAAAGGTGTTTCAAGAACCTCCATTGCTCAGGCCTTATGTACTTGTTTTAACTTGGCAGGAGTTATCTAAGATGCTTTCAAGAATTGCTAAAATCCAGCTTGTGAGTTCGCATCCTGAGGTTTACGAACCATGCGATGATTCATTTGCATTGGTTGATGCATTATTAGCTGATCGGACTAACTTGTTACAGCACTGTCCCTCAATTTGTATGGAAATTGGTTGTGGTAGTGGGTATGTTATTACTTCACTTGCAGTTATGCTTGGACTTGAAGGATTCGTTCCATACTATCTTGCAACAGACATAAATCCTCATGCAATAAGGGTGACTCGTGAGACGATGGATGCTCATGGTGTTTATGCCGAATTGGTAAACACAGATATTGCATCTGGACTTGAGAAGCGATTGGCAGGATCCGTTGATGTGATGGTTGTGAACCCTCCATATGTTCCTACGCCCGAAGATGAAGTTGGTTGTGAAGGTATCGCTTCTGCATGGGCCGGAGGGGAGAATGGTCGAAGTGTTATTGATAAAATACTGCCTGTTGCCGATAATCTTTTGTCGGAGAGGGGTTGGTTATATATGGTCACGCTTACTGCTAATAACCCCTCACAAATATGTCTTGAGATGAGAAAGAAGGGTTATGCATCTCGAATCATCCTGCAGAGATCAACTGAAGAAGAAAGCCTCCATATTATCAAATTTTGGCGAGATTCCGATAGCCAGTTGGAACTGAAGAATTTAAGTTATTGGACAAAACTGGTCAGGAATTAGTGAAGGGGTTTCATTTGGTGATTTCATCGACTGTACGTTAGGTAACATATTACTGACCATTAATTTTAGCATTGCGGATAGAGGGGAAGTTCATTAGCTGGATGTGGTAAGGTAATCTTATAATTTTCCGTTTTTTTATATCCACTCTCTCCCTTTGTCAATATGAAGTAATAGACAGAAATGAAAAACGATTACATTCTTTTTTGTTTTGTGATACTGTTGTTCAGGTGATTTTTTCTGGATTGGGGTTTGTCATCTTTATTCAAAGGATCCTCATACGAGCTGGCTCACACTCCTAACTTTATCAAGTACCTGATTTTATGCTTAAAGCTATAGCTTCTCGTTCTATACACAATTTTAAATAATTTGCTTCTATTATCTGCACTATTCGCAACAAGCCATCGGATGGATATCATCTGTATGATTGACTGGTCTTGTGTCTTATAATTTTTTTCTTTTTTTGAAAAAGGCAACAATCTTGTGTCTTATAAATTTATTTATTTGATTACTGCATGTTGATCATGTCATTGCTGAATCAGAGTATCAGACTATCCATGTAAGTGAAAGTTTTTAGCCCTTTGAATAACCTATCTCTCTAGCCAAACAAGTATTTCTGGCCGAACAATGAGGAGTAGATCCAGCTAGAGAAAATAGTGGAATTGTCTAAAATGCATTAAAACCGTATTTTTGTTAGAGAAAGGGGAAAATGGTTCTTTCTGGTTTGGATGGTGTTGCTCCTTTAGAAGGAGAGCCTTGGTGTAGCTGGTAAAATTGTCTCCATGTGACCAGGAGGTCACGGGTTCAAGCCGTAGAAACAGCCTCTTGCAGAAATGTAGGGTAAGACTGTGTACAATAGATCCTTGTGATCTGGCCGCATAGTAGGAGCTTAGTGTACCGGGCTTCCCTCTGCTTTGGATGGTATAGTAAGGTTTTTTCTGCAGATCAGGACTTTTAGCATCGCATGAAGCCATCGGGGATGTGTAGCATCCAAGTTCTCACTCTTCAAGTAAAAGCCAGACTTGCTTTACAGAATTTAAAAGAAAAATCATTAATATCCGAGAGAGCAAAGATATATGTGCTGTTCTTCTTTTGAATTACCAGATGATAAGACCCCTAATATTAAATTCTGAAATGATTCTTGTGTGTAGAGTTAATAGAGAATATCATGATGAGAAGTGATTACTAACCAGAGTGATTACTTAAGTATTTCTGCAAATCAGATGCTTGCTTGTTTAATGTATTTACCTATGTTGTGTGTTGACTGTTTGCAGTC